TAATCGTTCTTGTTTAATAAATAAATTCCTATTACTTTTCGAACACCCCTCGTATTTACCACTTAATATAGTTTCGTTGATGTACACGCACTAAAGTAACCGGGATAGTGTCGCGTTCTTCGAGCTTGCCTACTAAGACGTCGGGTATCAGCTGCTGTCAGTGTGTCAGCACTCGGTCGGTGTGTCGCTGGGATTTACTTCAATGTTGAGGAATTTCTGGGCGATATCAGCTGGGAGATAACCAGATCGGTCGCCGAACTATTTCTTCACATTTGCCGTCATCGATCGATAAGACAAGACAAAAATGCCACAGAGGCATCTTGTTTCCGACAAATTCCTTCTTTTTTTTTCAAATCGTCCGAGTGATAAGGGTTTAGCTGAATGGCCGGGTCGCCCAAAACTTTTCGGGAACTGTGGGAAGTTGTGCACTGAAATTCGGCACAGATGTGGCTCTCCTAGGAAAGAATATTTAATAGTGGTAATTTCGCTTCCAAACGTTAATTGATGAAGTTGCATGCAAATTTCAAGTAGAAAATGAAAAAGTTGGGTGCCGAACGGAGGTCCTCGTGACGAAGGGGGAGGATGGATGCTCGCTTGCTTTGCGGGTGCCTCCCCGTCTCATCCGGGATGCAGTCTCCTCGCTTCAGCAGGCTGAGCGTGGGATCGTATTCCGCTCAATCTCGTTTTAGTCGATTTCGAATGAGGAATCCTGTTGTGGATCTGAGGAGATTTCGGCGCTGAGACGGACGAGCGTGGTTACCTCTGGCTTATTTAAACCCAGTGGTAGCTCTTAGAATTACGATTCAGTATTAGTGGAGATTTTGTGGGAACCACATTAAGTGGTGAATTGCAAAAAGGTGGTCTTAGTGACCGAGGAGTACCACTCAAACGAGTGCTTTTAGTCCCTAGTTTGGAACGTCGTCACATTCTCTGCACTAAGAACTGAACCTACTAATATATTGTATCAGGAATACACCAAACGTTCAATACACGTCAATGATGAATGCTATTCTCTGACGCAAAAGTTAACGCTCTCCTTGCACTTCTGCAACAGAAGCCGGATTGGGTTAACAATCGGCTCGAGATGAGAGAGACTGGGATGCGCCTCGCCATCTGTCGAGCTTCTAGATAACCCGAGACCCGATCCTGCGCGGACGTCACACTCGATCCTGCGCGGACGTGAGAATCGAGCCTGCGAGGACGTCAAACCACGCGAGGCGTTCATGCCTCTTAGCGCGTTCCTCGTTTTTCGCCTCTGGTTCGCTCGGCTGGCATCGGCTGTCTTCAGTGCATGCATTTCCATGAATTTACTGCATTGACACTGAGCTTCGGACAGAAAACTATCTGATCGGTGTGATCCTCTAGGTGGTTGGGGCATCACGGCGGTCTAAGAATTTCTACCAGTTTCTGGAAATTCGTGGAGGCCCACATTAAATACTCCTTCGTGGATCCGTATAAGCTGAGCACCAGGATTCGACTGGTGGTTCTGAATGACGATGGCTACGAAAACGCTAGCATCGGCGTGTGACGCTGAGTTGCATACTTATCGTACAAATTAAATTTCTAGCTGATATGAACGAAGGGAAGGATTTCCTTGTCTGAGGAAGGCGCGTTCTCGGCCAGAGGCGTGACGGCGATCCCCGCGCGACGGAATCCTTTCTTCTCGAACTCGGCCGTAAATCAGAGACAGCTGGGGGATCTTGCGACTGCCGAGGAAACCAGAGGACCGATTTTCGCATCGTCGAGAAGAACTTCACCGTGTCCAATAGCCAGCCGAGCAAGAGAAAGGGAAATTAACTTCACTTGAATGATTCTATGTTTGCAGTCGAAAGGGAAGTCGGCCCTACCGATGACTCTTTGGTACTTCGGATTCCATTGGGACGAAACAGCCTGAACTGAACCAGAAAGCGATCCCTCGCATGAACGCGATGGTCAACCAGACACTGCGTCTCATCGTCGGGAGACGGCGACCCCGTTCAAAGCGGTCTTCACCCCTTACGTATATTTTGCGGCCCCATCTCAGTTGAGATAATCTACAGGCTAACACGCGTCGGCAACCGAATGCGCGTTTCAAAAGGCACTGGCGAACCGCGTTTGAATCCCAAGTGCCTCTTCACCAGGAATTTTCCTCGGTTTCCCAGGATCTCTTGGCGACACGGCCGGCATGCGTTTTTCCGCAACCGTTTGGGAAATCTAGAGATGAAAGAATGACGTCATCGCCGGAAGTTTCTCGATCGGACGAGTTCGAACTCACGGATTATCCCGTTATCTCCGTGGTGAACCGAAAGTGTTTCAAAATGGCGACTGAAAATTTCCATTTCGAAAATCGAAGGCTTAATGAGAACGTGATGAATATTTCGCCATTTCGCCGACATTTCGCTTAATTTCCGGAAATGCAATTAATGGTTTGCCGCTGCTTGCATCGATCGGGAATGAGTATTTAAAACAGGCATTTAAATAGCTCCTTAAAAAAAACTGATCCTAAAAGCGGTAATAAAATTTCACCGTGTATGCGAAATACGTATACCATCACCGATTTAAGCATTATTCAGAAAGTACTCAGCCGAATGCTTTGGAATCACACCGCCTAATTATCTCTTGTACTCGGCAAACCGGTGCAGCTGCTCAGCCCGCGTAATATCGTCAGTGGAATTTTCCGAAATTATGAGAAATATTGGTGGTACTATATTGCCATTGCAGTGTATGCAATTCGCGAAACGACACCGTCGCATTTTTTATTAAATTTTTTTTAACATTTGAATTGAAGGTCGTCTCTTGTTGCCTCGTGGTCGGTCACAAGAAACGGACCCCACAGGGAAATCCCACCGAGTCCAGTTCGCGCAATGGCCAGACGAGATGGCCGTGGATGTCGTGGTCTTTTCGTAGAAATTTCAGAAATATGTTTCTTTTTGTCACGAAATCGAAGCAAAAAATTTCCTCCCCGATTTTCATGGAAGAGCATGGACGCAGGAAGGAAGTCCAACGCGAGTTTTCTCAACAATGATGATACCGCGAGAGGAAAGATGTGTTCGTGGAGATGGCTCGGTCCGAGTCCGAGCTAGTCCACCTGTAGGACCTGCCACTCCGTTCTTTGTTTCTGCTGGTCAATTTTTGTTACCTGTCGTCGTGTCTGTCAACACGTGTATTGGTCATGGGCGCAATTTCAGGAATAATCATCGTAATTATCATTGTGTTTTGCCTCTCCACTTTCTTTCTGCAGCTTTTGTCGCCCATAGTTATGACTAATGACACCACCGTTCGTAATTGGACGAATGAGCGCCATTGTCTTCTCGATTGTTGGGATCACACGAAAGCCCTCTCCCTTCCCTTTGTTGATTCGGGTTGACTTCGTCATCCGTGACAGTCGCTATCAACGCCAGCGTGCGTGAAGCACGCGATCATGACAATGGAAAGACAGGTCATATTCTTTATTCTAACCTCTTCTGGAACGTACGTATATATCGAGCTAAGGTGTCACGAAAGGGGCATACATTCTCCACCATTGATTCTTCCGTCAGTGAGAAGGTAGGATACATCCGGTCGACATGCGGCATGGTTTCTATTTCCTCTTCTTCCTCCTTTGGGATGGAAGGCTTCTGGAGGGAAGCAATGTGGAAAGGCAGCTTATGAAGGACCTCCTAACAAATTACAATAAAGTTCTCCCCGTCGAGACACCCAATACCTCACTCGTGGTCTCCTTTCGGCTCATTCTCTTTCGAATCATCGAATTGGTCAGTTTCGCTTCCGTGTATGCTGTCATTTAGGTTACCATCACGAGTATACCTAAGATACGAGTGGTGATGTCCTATAGGACGAGAGGAACCAGGCCCTCGTGACCAACGTGGAGGTCGTTCAACAGTGGAACGATATCCGATTGAAATGGAACGCAAGTGATTACGGTGGTATCCAGCAGACCATGATACCTTATGACTCAATCTGGACTCCGGACATCATTCTCTACAATAGGTAAGGCAGTATGAACCCTAAGGAGTTCTGGTAAATGGGTACTACCTGTTCGACGCCGCAGGCTGCACCTCTTGCAGGATTTTGTCAAATATAAAAATGAGATAAAGTAAAGTGAGAAACTTGACAGCAAGTTTAGTGTTTCATAGGCCCATTAATTTGTAGATAATAGGGTAACTTCCGAGATTGTAGCTTCCCAAATTGATCTTGACATTAGGAACATTATTAATGTTCGTTATTAATATCACGAATCAATCCCAAAAGGAAAATGTTAAAAATCCTATAACAACGTTCTTCGCGTCGACCGATGTCGAAGATAGGAGATCTCATACTACGAGATGGATCTGCAGCAGTTAAAACTGCCCATGGTAACGACGAAATCTGTCCTTTGGATCATCGTCATTGGTCCAAAGCTGTTGCCATGATAGGATGGAAAGGTGTTCTTGAAAAAAAGGGTGAAGGGAGACGAGGCAGTACACTCCATTTGTAGAGAGGTGGATAAAAATTCTATTACTTCTGATCTGCGTCTAAATGTTAAGATTTCCACTTTTCGCAACCCTTTCACTCGCAAGCAGAATTTTAACCCATTTGGAAGAGCTAATATACCGGCACCTCGGGATTCTGACGGTTGATGAGCTGTATGCATGACTGGAGGTATGCAGTTTCGATTTCGATTTGATAAACCTAGAGCATAGGGTGTTCGGTAGGGGGGGGGGGGGGGGCCCGTCCGAATTGCTNGCGGGGGGGCGGGGGTGGGGGGGGGGGGGGGGGCACGTCCGAATTGCTTCCCCTCATACTTTTTCAGAAAAGGGTTAAGGTGAGAATATACTGGGTTAGGAGGAGCCTGGTTGTGGTGAAACAGGTTAGCAGGGCCATAATCAACGTGCGACTCCTTCACGATACTCAAGTTTTCCAAGCGATGTCCAAGTGTCTAATTTCCAAACCTAATATATATAGACGGTCGTGACTAACTGACTGACGCTAATTCTAACCATGTTCCAGAAAAGTTAGAAATCTGAAACTTCGTACACATGTACCTTTTGAGATGCAGAGTTCAGAAAAAAATCCGACTTTGGAGGTACATGCCCTGGGGGTACACATTCTGGGGAGAGAAGTTTATTTAAAATACTGTATATATTGTGACGGATGAGGATGTCGTCGAGAGACACTATTGGATGTCCCTGCTTCGTTGGTGTAGTGGTAGCTCATCTTACCAATAATCGGGAGGCCTGAGTTCAATTACCGGCCATTCTATGGCATTTTCTTTGGCTTCTCTTGCCTTCCATGTCCCGTTACTCATTCCCCCTCCATGACATTATTTTTGCTTGAATAAAACGGAGAGATATGGAAAGCTGAAACGTGGCATGGACGTGCCTACCGACACGATGAGTTCATGAAAAATGCAAAATTTTAGATCCATGCCCTAGGGGCATATTTTTGGGGGCCGACGAAGTTCATGAAAAATGCAAAATTTTAGATCCATGCCCTGGGGGCATATTTTTGGGGGCCGACGTTTTCAAGTATTTTTTTTTGTCCTGATGTATTGAGCTAGTGTGGAAAGATGAAAGTACCTGGTATTCACATGCTGAGTTCAGGAAAATTTCCACTTTGGAGATACACGCCATAGGGGCACACCTTTTTGGGGACATATTTTCAAATATTTCTCTTTGCTACAGTCAAAGGGAGACACATGGAAAGATGAAACTTGGCAAGAACGTGACTGCAGACGCTCTGAGCTCAGGAAAAATGTCAAATTTCCAAAATATTGGCATTTTGGGGAGATATTTCTTGGAGACGTTATGTTTTCAAAGAATTTTTAATATCCTAGGGAATCGGGCAGAAACAGAAAAGTAGCAGCTGGCGCACGCATAACGGATGTGATGTTGATTTAAGGAAAAATTCTACTTTTCCTGTGCGTCTCCTCAGAGCACAGCTTTTGGGTTGGTCGCTTTTCCAAAATATATTTTTTTACCCCCAGTAAAAAGTGGAATCGTATCAGGCTGAATCTGGGCGGCATGGAGTTCCCTGAGTCTACATTTCAGAAGAAAAAATATTTTCGCTAAAACCCATTAGTGCACTTTTTTTAAGTCCCATTTTCCAGAATTATTTTTGGTCCAACGAAACAGAGACAGAAGATGAAAAATTCTCTCAGAAGTACCTATTTGATGGCTGAGTACAGGAAAAATCCTACTTTTGAAATATGCCCCATTAGCATAGATTATAGGATGAAAGTATTGCAGAATGTATTCTCCACCTTTACAAAAAGGGACACGTGAAAAGATTTTAAGTTAGGCGCACCAGAAATAATAGAAGTAATGATTTTGATAAAAATCAAGACTTTCGTCCCCATATGTCACGTATTTTAATGGAGGCGTACTCTAAATACGTGTTTGACATTTAGCATAGCGAGTTTGTTTTGTATAGTCTCGGAAATCTCACTCCTTGTTGTGATGGAATCACTTTTTCCTTCCGCATGGAACATCACGACTGAGTGTCCTATATTCGAAGTCGGACAATTGAGCAAGAGTAGGGTAATACCAAGCCGCTGGTAAATCCGAACAGCGCGAAATGACCTATTTGGAATTAGCATGAGAAGCAGTCACTTCTGCCACTGCACAGGCTTCAGCAACTAGTGCTGAAACCTATTGTGAGAGTTACCCTGACTCGAACAGCTTTCAGAGGAAAGCAATATCTTCAATTTTATCTCGATCAATGTAAGGAACTGCTCGAGAGGCGTGGCCATGGCGTTGCATCGGATCTGACCTGTTCGAAGGGGTTCCCATGGAAATGTGAAATTAATATTCTTCCGAAAAGAGGTGGGATCCGCGATATTAGTGCTCTCATTAGTCCGTGAGAGCAGGCTTCTTAAACGTTGGCGCTTTGGGAAGAATCCGGACAGACATTGGAGGGAAGTAGAGGGGAGGAAACCGAACATTAGGATTTACACAACATTCTATTGCATTGACGCCGTAGAGAATACGAATCATCATATGCAACTCAAGTAAACCTGCACCTAAGGAATGCACCTGCATCTACTTTGTAATCGCCCTTTGAGAAGGGAAATGGAGGGACAATGAGAAGATTTACAGGACGATGAGAGGGAAACTCCCTTACTTGGGTTTTTCGCTCAGCGAGATTCCTAGGTTTTCTCAGAGCCGTATCACTACCTAGGAATTTGGAGAAAATAAATGAGGTGATAATGAGGGGATATTGACACCGTCATGAAGCTGGGATTCCATTTTCCGGGCATACGATATAGCATCACGACGAAATCACGGTGGTCTCAAAAATCATGTTTGGGTAACGTTGCATGAACGTCATGCGCTTTGTCGCATGCGACATTGGGACTCATTCCGTGTTGCAGCGCGGCGATGGACTACACCGACCGGCTGCTGATGACGAACGCAATCGTGAACGCGACAGGCGACGTGACCCTGCTCACGGCTGCCATCTTCCGCTCTGTTTGCGACGTGGACGTCTCTTACTTCCCGTTCGACATCCAGAATTGCACGATGCGCTTCATGTCATGGACCCAAGACAAGACCAGAGTAACTTGTTCACTCCCTCTCCAGCTTCTTAACTCCCCTATTTTGTACTCCTTCGGTTCTAGATTTCTTTCAACATTTTTTGGCAGCGGCACCCCTTCCGGGCTGTTATGTACTGGTTGCACCCTTGACACAAACCACAGACTTTCGTTCAGAATTATATAGGCCTGAAAATATGAAATTAGGACCATTTATTTCATTATTGGAAGGTTGTTTTTTTCTTTTAACTGTCCTCATCAAGACAATCGAATCAAGAAAATGAGCTGAAACCCTTCCGTTTTAGCTTCGATTCGATGACTGTGATTTCTCTTCAGATGACCGGAGAATAAAAGCATGGTTCAATATTTTAAATGACCATACGCATAACATGTATAAAACTTAGAGTGGCCATGAACTTTATTTCATTTATTTTCCCATAATGAGAGATCGTAGATGTGCACATCAAAAGCAATTAGGATGTTCATTGCAGCCACATCATTAATTTTTTGGTATTTTTCCATGACAATTACTCCCGTGATGAACTTGTTTACAAGGGATAAGTATCACGAGTCAATTTAATTGAAAATGTCACATACGAGCATATTTGGTGAGCTGTTTGTTTGATATAGGTTGCTGTCTACTCCATAACGTACTCCTCGATTACAGCAGCAAAAGAACATTGTGACCTTGCTTTCTCGGCCTCTTTCGACTCAAGAAATAGGCATTGCGTACACAGGGCACTCTTGTAACATTCCGCAGCGACCTTAGTTGACGCGGCACACCACACGGGTGGAGAGCCGCCATTGTACTCGAAGAGATACTGGGACGGGAGAGACGTGTTCCCTGGATGAAACAGATGAGGTCGATTCAAAGACATCTCTCGTCTAAGAGCTAATTTAAATCGGTTATGTACAGGTTGGCAACATATTGCATCACATATTCTTACATCCGCATGGTATCAATTGAGCAGGCCTGCAGTTGAAGCGGATGTTGTGACATGCTCCCTCGATTGCTCTCGAGTCAGTTGTATGACAGGCGTAATTCTATGGCCCATTGTGTATTTCATGCTTATTTTAAACAATTGATGCAATTTTGAGTGGCCTTGTGACCTCGATGGATTAAGATAACAGGACAAATCATTTTCCATAGGGATATGAGTTCTTAGAATAGACAGACCAAACTTTGTACAGTTTTGCTCTCGTTGCAAATTTTGAAAAGGAATAGAGTGCATTCTTCGAACTATGGCCTGCAGGATGAACCCATTCAGACTTTAGCCCGGTGCCTCATATCATCAAACAAAAATTCTCTACTAGTCAATAACTCACCAACGGAAATATGGAAGCAAACTTGTAAAATGATAGGTATTTCTTTTCAAATTTCTTGTGTACACATTCTTAAAATACCGATAGTCACAGCACGAGAGATGCTTGGTAAAATCAACGGGATGTCTCAGGTTCAGATGAAGCTGGATCACAACAATATGATCGAGTTGAAGACATACATTGAAAACGAGGAGTTCTCGCTGGAATCTTATGACGCCGAGCTAAGGGAGGAAGAGGATCCGTGTTGTCCAAACCGTTTCTCTACGGTGGACTATGTCATTCGGATCAAGCGCCGTGCTGCTTTTTTCGTCATCAACTATGTCCTCCCCACGATTGACATCAACGTCATCGGTATGACACCACTTTTTCCGCATTTCTAAAAATAATGAGAATTGAAGGGGGAGCGACATTGCGTTTTCGGTTTTCATTTAACTAGCCCTGCTAACATTCCTCGTACCGTGTGAGAGCGGGGAGAAGGTGACGCTTGGGATCTCCACGATGCTCACCACTATCATCTTCCTCATGAGCATCAGCGATATCCTCCCGCCCACCGAAGGCATCCCTCTCATCGGTAGGATGGGGTCATCAGTAGGGTCTTCTTCTTGGTGCACGCGATCCAATAGTCAATTTTGGCGATCCGGCTAAAACAATAGAAAAAGTAATGAAACTCGTGGTCGTCAGGGTGGGAGCTGCTCCAGAGGGAAAGGTATAAGGGAAAGGTATAGGAAAGGAAAGGTATAAGGGTATACGATGATTGCCGTAACTTCGTTTATCCTCAACCGTTTGCGTTCATATAAGTATCAGAAACTTCTGAAACGCTCTACAAAAAGATACAAACATGATCAGAATCGATGCAGATTTAAACAAATTATTCAAAAATCAAACTGTTACGATTCGTTGGGACACTGTGTATGACCGTATAACCTGTACTTTAAAACCATACTTTCCCTAATTTTAGGCTTATGCCTGAAAATTTTTGAGAGTTCCGGTCCCCACCCTAATTGTGCACAACAAATTGTGCACAACAAACACATGTTCCGTTCTTGAGGATCTCCCCGTACTCACCATGTCAATCGACGGCTCCAGCCCTCGAATGACATGACGATTTAAAATTAGCCAAGTTGAAGGTGCCAAAGACGCAGTTACGATAATTGCAGGGAAATTCTACTGCGCCAGCATCGGCCTAGTGTCATTGGAGGTGGCCCTCGCCATCCTCACCCTGTTTCTCCATCACTTGAAGGACATCCGAGTACCCCCTTGGGTCCGGAAAATGTGTCGAATGTTGGCCAAACTATCCTGCATGAAGGAGCCACGATTCTGCAACGTCCGTTTCTCTCCTCCTTCATCTGATCCAATGCATGGTTCGCGCTTTCAGATGATGTTTCACGATGCACTCACAGGTGAAGGGGGGACCGCGTGAGAACGAGAAAGGGAAGACGGAATTCACCGACGGGATACCACCTCCCTTCCTCTATGGAGACAGGATGGCTTCGAGTAGACGACCCTGTTGGATGAGCCCCGTCGAACCCACGAGGAAGGAAGAGATGACAGGTACGATAGACATCTATGTAATGTGGACTGTTTCGGTAGTGAAAACGCATATCTGGCCTGTTCATTTCGATGTGCAAAAGCCTCAGTAACCCGTATTTAGTTTATCTTGCCTCTAGTAACGCTCGCTTTGGGTCGTACTCTGGTGCAAATGCACGAAGGAAAGTCGTCCTGTTAGTCACTCAGACGATTCTCTTTCTTATTTCAGCTCTGCATGGTTGAAAAGATTCCTAGAAGTAGAAGCATAAAACATACGATAGGCATATGCCTCATCAATTTCATTCGAGAAGCATTCGACGTGGCTCATGAAAATCGGACCTATTACTTTGTCATGCCTCGAACTAATTATTGCATTCAAGTAAAAAATCTGCATTCACGATTCCAATCAATGCATGATGCAACCTGCTAGCGAATTCGTTCTTGCAGACATGGAGTCGAACCTGAGATGGATCTCCTCCCTCGTGGAATACCAGAATCGGGAAAGGGAGATGGAGTTCTGGACCCACCGATATAATCGTCTCGTGGAGTTGGAGAATTGGAGAACCGTTGCTGACATCCTGGATCGAATCTTTCTTTATCTCTTTTTGGCACTCAACTTTTTCGTCACTATCGGGATTCTCTTTTCATCTCCGACGATTAGATAAGTAGATTAGAACCTAGCCACATAATGGCAATGTAGATGGGGGGGGGGGAGGTAGTCACACAGGAGATGGCAATCGAATTGTTAACGCATTACATACATGTCATCAACTATGATATATGTTACAACCTGATACTTCGATTCCTTAATCTATCAATCTAGATCACACACTCTTGAGAAATTCTGCACTAGTAGTAGGTATATATTTTCAGATGCAATTTGAGAAAGAAGGAAGAAGATCGAGGAGTCGATGGTAACCGAAGACGCAGTTCAGATGGAGGATTTCGAAAGGGGCCGGGCTGATGTCATAATTTATCACTCAGACAAATATTACATATATATTAAATATTGCAGAGGACGAAGGGATTAAATAGGAATTCAGACTGAAGGAAGAATTCCGGCATGATCGGACCCATCGCAAACACCCACGTGGTCACCTTTAGATTATACCTTTTCCGAATCCTCCATTTGGAGAGAATTTTGATAAAAGTGAGAAAATCAATCTCCAGGTAGTATTCCAAGAACACTCCAACTCAAATAAATATATACCGTTTCCACTGCTACCAGACCATGGTCCTACCACCATCATGCTTGAAGTGATGAGATCACCTAATACTTGTATAAAATGTGCAAAAATTAATTATTCAGTTAACCCTTAAGTAAAATCCAATAGGATCTCATAAGATTTTTGAAACATAATAATCTTATAGGATTCCTACAGGATTCCTACAAGATTCTCATAGGATTCCTATAGGACGCTATGAGAACCCTTTAGGATTACTACATGAATTAAATGCGATTTTTTTAATTAAAAAATCTCATCTTATAGGATCCTATAGGATCTTTTCGTAAGGGAAGAAAACAGCATTTTTGCAGATTTTTGCAGTTTCATCACCAATAATTTGAAGAAATTGCGTACGAATAAATTTTTTGTGTGAGAAAAGTTTTCTTTCCGTGTTTTTTTTTTGAATTAGCGAGTATTTATGTTCTCTGTAGGGCGATGTTGACTTCAACCGCATGGAATTGAGAGCATATAGTTCAAAAATACATAAAGGATATTTATACTGCTAAAGCTTTTGGGATAAGGTCGCGTTTACATGGAATCCAATGAGAACACCTTCCGCTTTGGAGGCTTGCAGTAATTTCCCATCGACCTTTTCCATACCCAGGGGAGCCAGGCATTCAGACATTTTCGCTCCCAGGAGTTTCTATTGAGTGATAGGATACGAGTATGATTAAAATGGTGGTCATAGTAACCGAGGAGAAGCCACAACTTAGTCTCAAGTGAAGACATCGACGATTAGAATGATCTAACATTTTTCTCATCAGTAGTCCACAGTAAGTTTCTCATGAACGCAAGTACGTGTATTAGCTGGATGTTCCAGTGAGCCTGGTTCTCCTTGGCTCCGGACCACCCACAGGCTTCAAAACATGATGACGATATATCTTTCGGAACTTTCAACTTCTTTCGGAACTACATGTCTCTCTTGACCGCCGACAGCTTTCATGCTCAGAAGGCCGAGTCACATAAAGAGTTCTTCGGTTCCGTCTTCACAACGAATCCGACGTCGCACCAGCATTGAAGAAGGTCACCTCTGCGAGCATCGCGGACATTTTCATCATCAAGGAAGAGATTAAGAGGGGGAGAGAGAAGACTAGGACAGGGAAGTTGTCGGCAGGCGCGGCAACCGGGCTCTATGGGATTCCGGCGGGCGTCATCAAGGAACTCACGAGGGAAATATCGGTACTGTTAAGAATTATACTTTGAAGAACCTTTTCGCGTGGAGAAGTGCCTCGGGACGAGAAGCTAGCGAACGTTTTACCGATTGTTAAGAAGGGTGAAAAGGGTGATCACAAATTACAGGCTGGTGAGCCTCACGAGTATTCCAGTGAAAATCACGAAAGGCACCTTAAGAGATCACATCTTAGACTTCCTCGAAGGTAAAACGGTCATTCGGGACTCTCAGAATGGGTTTAGGAGGCGATGTAATTGTCTAAGCGATATGCTTGAGTTTTACGATAGGATGACGGAACAGAGAGAGGAGGGGGAATCCTGAAGATATCGTCTACTTAGATTTCGCGAAAGCCTTCGATACCGTTCCCCAAAAGAGATAGCGGCTTATATTAGAGTTTTACGGGATCCAGGGTAGGACGAGCGAGTGGATCAGTAACTGATTGTCGGGAAGAGAGCAACTGGTAATGGTTAATGGAGAAGTGTCTACGGAGGTCGGGCAAGCGGGCAGCGTCCCCCTGTGAGTTGACAGTGTTCGAGAGGGTCCAGAGGTGAGCCCAGGAAATCATCCGGGAGCTTAAGAGACTTCCATTCGAGAAGCGTTTAGAAGAGTTGGGTCTGTACTCGCTCGAAAGAAGGTTTAACGAGTTGGATCCTCATCCAGGCATTTAACATCATTAAGGGAATAGACGGCGTTGAGAGTGGAAGGTTTTCCTGTTCGATGGTAGGGGCATAGCAAGAGGAAATCAACTTTAATTGTTTAAACCACAGGTGTGGCTCACGTTGCGTCAGCACTTCTTTACTTGTAGCGTAGTGAATCCGGAGAATGCGTTAAGTGACGGCTGCCCCGCGCCGTGATTTTGCGACAAGAGTAGGTTATATGCCTTCATGAACACGAAAAAAGGGACGAATAAATATGAGTGAATGGGAATTAGGTGGACTATGCAATAGGCGGCTAGGACTAGATATGCTACAAAAAGAACCCAACTTTAAGAGAGGTTAACGTCCTTTAACCTCGAACCTTGAACATTGAAACAATCGCTCAGGAAGGGTTTCGGCAAAGAGGGCTAAGGGAAAAAGAGTTTCCGTAACTTCTCAACGGGGGCGAGAGAGAGAGAGAGAGAGAGAGGGGGGGGGGGTAAAGCCCGCGCACCTGGTGTCCAGTCTATTCCCTGGCAGGACAGTTCCCAAATGGCTAATTCCCCGAACGGTCAGTTCCCCACTGTTACATATAAACAACCTCACGGTCGCGGATGGAGGGCAATCGACCGCAGGTTTCTTACATGAATAAAATTCAGCTACCAGTGAAGTCCTGAGTGTCGCTGCTCAAACAACGCTTTTTTCGTCTCGGGGATAACAGCCGAAAATAAAAAGGCACCCAGTCTCCTTCCTGTCCAGGGATCGATTTATGGTCTAGCTCCTTGCTTGTCTCTGAGGCGAAAAATGAGAATGACAAACAACAGAACGACCTTACCTGGTAAAAGATTAATTTTGAGTTAATTGTCGAAAAGAGGATTGCTATACAAGTGTTGTTCCTGACAGCACATCCTAAAATCTCATGTTATAATCCCAATACAGTCTCTCTCCGTCGCAGCACATTTTCTCCTTTGTGAGCAACAGCCCTCTGGAACAAGAATATATTTTCCCCTTTTGCTCTTCACGAAAACCATGAATCGACGAAGTCAATTTCTCACTCCGTCCAAGGACTGACCACTTAACGATCCTAACTAAGCCACCCAGTTTCTCCATATATAGTCCCATTTTAGATCTTGATAGACATCTTGTCGATCGTCTCATATCTGATCAGAAATGATTACAGGATAATCTGAGAGGATTATCCTGTAATCATTTCTGTTAACTTTTTTCATCTTTCTTTTATTTTTCCGTGATAGTCTTTATCAGCGATTTGACTGGCACTGTATCGGTTGGCATGTTCCTTAGACGAACTGTTTCCCGAGGTATGGGGCAAATAATTAAATTATTTCCACCCCTCCAGGATAAGAGCATATTATTGATTTTCCCTTTTCCTTCCGTTCAGCCTCGACTTCCCAATCGTCAGTTCCGGCTCGGTTGGGGAGGTTGGGGCTGCATCCCCTCCCCGCTTAACTCTCCAACGTATCATGTGGGGGGCTGGAAACTTTTTTTTTCGGAAACAAATGCATTACCTTCGTAGAATTCGCAAAATTCATAAATTAAAATGTTTACACATCATTTCATTCAAAATTCATTTAACTTACAGATCGGGGGACTTTTTAAATGGGAAACTGTCCAGGCGGGGAAATAACCATTCGGAAAATTGACAATCGGGCTGTGGCCTATTTTGACCGAAGGGCCGGGGGGGAGGGGGGGGGGGGGGTACAGAGCGATGTGGCCTATTTTGACCGAAGGGCCGGGGGGGGGGGGGGGGGGGGGGTTACAGAGCGGGGACACCAAACCCCACCTGAGCGATATTGAGGGCCAGGCTTTCTCCTAGGAGCGCTGGGGCTGCTAGGGCTGGGTAAAATACGTCACTGTCTTCGGGGAAATGAAATTGATCAGCGGGAAATTGATCGGGAACTGCGAAAACCATTTTTCACTATTACATTCATTTTGACAGTATTGTACAGGGTGGCGCAAAATCCGAACACCATAGAATAAATTACAGTAAATGTTCAAAACGTTTGCCATTAACTTGAAAACACTTCGATTCGCATTAAACGCATGATGTTTGAACATATCTAACTCCACCCTCTCTTCTTTTGTCTATTTTTCAGCCATCACTCACCTGCAAAGAAACAGGAATTAATGTCGTGGAACATTGAAATCCCCCTATGGTGCGTGCCTTTTGCACCACCCTGCATATTCAATCAGGTTCACGGTCTATTATTAATACAACGGGTTACATTTAATAGCAAGGCATTTCACTTCATCACATGACTTACATAAAGGTCAATTCATACATCTTTCCCTGAAACGTCGGACACCTTTCGCCAAGTCGCTCACTGTCGGTCATTTTTCTTCTCATCTTATCCTCTTTGGATCCCAATCCCACAAAATCAAGAAATCAATCACGTGTTTGGACAATATCCTCCTAAAACATTTTTATTTGTTCAGTGATGTTTCTTCTCATTCATATATTTTTTTAAAGCTTTTGTTGCTACAATAATGATCTCGATCTGATCCATTCCTGGAAATAAGCCTATTTGGCACAAAGACGGAGCATAGCTAAACTCTCTAGTGAGGCCATTTTCCAACAGGAAGTCGTAGAGCCGATAATATGGAAAACAATTTTTGTGAATATATTTTCATTTGGGACATTCCATGAGAAACTCTCACGTCGTATCGACGCTCATGAACATGGTCCTCTCATAGACATTTCATGAATGACTTTTGGCGGTGAATTCAAAGCAAGGAATTCCTATTTTCAATTTCCTCAGGAAAGCATTGAGACAGGAAAAAGAAGAAAGCATCATGCGTGCTATCTTGGCAAAGAGTGAAGATGCGTTCGTGGAGGATGCTGGTTCGAATCCTAGTCCACTTGCAGAAACTGTAACTCAGTCCATTGTTTCTGCTTGTCGATTTTGTCACCTTTTATGTCCAACAACAAAAGCGTTCGTCATGGACGCAACATCAGGAATAATCATAGTAATTATCCTTATCGCTTCCATCTCCCATTTCTTTATGCAGCTTTTGTCATCCATAATCATGACTGATACCAGCGTTCGTAATTGTATGAGTGAGTGCCATTGTATTTTTGTTCGTTGCGACCGCACGAAAACCCTCTCCCCTCCCCTTTGTTGATTCGGATCGATTTCATAATCCACGACGGTCGCTATCAACACCAGCGTTCGTGAGGGACACGATCATACTTATAGGACAGGTCATATACTTCATCTTCTGCCAGTCCGATCCATTTGTCCATTATTCCATCAGTAAGAAGGTGGAATTCACACGGTCGGCATGCGGCACGGTTTCTATTACCTATTCTTCCTCCTTTGGGATGGAAGGCTTCTGGAGGGAAGCAATGTGGAAAGGCAGCTTATGAAGGACCTCCTAACAAATTACACTAAGGTTCTCCCCGTCGAGAAACCCAATACCTCACTCGTGGTCTCCTTTCGGCTCATTCTCTTTCGAATCATCGAATTGGTCAGTTTTGGTTTCGTATATGACGTCATTTAGGTTACAAACACGAATATACCTAAGATAGTATATATAAGTATATATAAGACATAAGTATACCTAAGGGGAGATGTCCTATAGGACGAGAGGAACCAGGCCCTCGTGACCAACGTGGAGGTCGTTCAACAGTGGAACGATATCAGTTTGAAATGGAACGCAAGTGATTACGGTGGGATCCAGCAGACCATGATACCCTATGACTCAATCTGGACTCCGGACATCATCCTCTACAATAGGTAAGGGGGTTTCAACCTTTGGGAATCCTGGCATATGCGTACCGTCTGTCAGGCTGCACCTCGTGTGGATTTGTCAAAAAATGAAGACGAGATAAAGTAAAATGAGGAATTTGACAACTCAAAATTTAGTGGTTATTGGACACATTAAATTTCAGGTAATAGGGTAACATCCCAGATTTCTCAGAACTTGTTCCTGATTTCACCATCAATCATGGAAGCAGAATCCTAAAAATCCTATAAGGTGCTTCCTCGCGTCAATCGAAGTCATGGATACTAAAATAATGTTAACTCCTCGAGATCTATTAACATTCTCCATGGTCTCGACGAAATCGATACCCAAGTTGAAGAATTTGAAGAAAAAAACTGTTGACATGATGGGAAGAAATGTTTTTCTCGTTTTTCTTGAAAAGATGTAGTACAGAGTGAGGCGGGCTATTATATTCCATTTGTGCATATAAATATGAAAGTACTATTAGTTCTGATCTAAGTCTAAATGTTCCGATTTGCGGATTTATTAACTCTTTAATTAGCACTGACACTTCAACGCATCAGCGAAAAAATTCAGTCCTGGCAATTCACGCTCATGGGAGTTTTTTTATTTCCCCCTCGTTGCTGCTGCCATCGTGAATACATGCATTAAAATGAATATGTAAAACTGATACTACGCATGCTAAAATGAGCATACTGTATGCATTTTTTATTTTTCAGGTTTTTGCTTTGCTCAGAATAGTTCCGAACGTTTAGATTTTACACAGTAACAATTTCCGGATGGGGAACTTGCAAAATTGGTTTTTCCCAATTCTCTTGAAATCATTTTACTCCTGTATTTCCTCTGGAATTGCTTCTCTATGTTATTTAGAATTTCATCTTTCCTCCCCTTGGAATATTACGTCTAAGGGTACTAAATTCAAAGTACGAGCTTAAATACTCTTGTACGGTTTGCATTATATTAAGAACGGTATATCTTAAGTTATTAGTTATATAAAGAATACTTCTGGAACACGTATTCACCCTTTAAACTCTCCCTTTGAGCAACGAGAGAGAGGGAAGAAATTGGGATGCGATATGATGCACTGAATGACAACGTGAGGCAATATACCAATCAAAGAGAAAATCTTGAGCGGTGGGATACCCGCCACCGAGAAAGAGAAAATCGCCCGGAATCCTGAGCCCCATTTGAGGCAGAACGAGAAATCACTCTCATTCTCTGAATTCGCATCCCAGCTAGAACGAAAATTAAAGACGATCATCAGGAATGTGTGACACAGGAGGCAAAAAGGGCCTGACTGCTTTGAGGTGAGGGATCTGTGATCTGCGAAGCTGAACATATTCTATTTTCCTGTAACGCTCATGTTTTTTTGGAAAGGTATATTGCTAATTGTACTTAAAGCTTCTCCGTGAAAGAATCGCACTAAATTCTCATAGTATTATTCCATCACCCACATTCCACTTTCACGCACAGGTTAAAGAGAAGGAGACACAAAATGAAAGGGAACTTTATGTTTTTGCCGAAATGTTCCGATAGGAAGCAAGATGTCCTTGAGTAATTAACACAAATAAAGAATCCCGAAATAAGGCGGAAGAACTCACGGGAAGACGCGAAAATATGCAAACTGGAATGAAACTAAAGGACTTGGAATTTTTTTGGGACGATTAAAGGAAAACTCTCATTTGTAATTTTTTCGCTCAGTAAGATTCCAATGCTTAGAGTCGGATTCCCTCCTTTGCTCTGTATTGCAGACGCGTTACTTCAGCCTTCAGGGAAAAAGAGCATAATCTTCCGTTGAGACAAAGGAAACGGAATGAAACTTAAAAGTTCTATAAAAGAATCTCTTTAATTCTCGGAACATTCCTTGAAAGGTCATCATACATCATGATGAGGTCATCATCAGGTACAACTCATATAGCTCGATGGTTAACGAAGGGAATTAGAAGACACAAATACGTGGAAATGACGTATCATCGACGCAGCATACCTGAAAGCAACTTTTTCCAAACGTTGCATCAACACTGTACATTTAGGGACGTTACGATGTCCCATAACCGTCACCGTGACGTTCATAATGATTTCATGACGACGTCTTCTGCTGTTGTCTTCTGCATGTGCTGCTTGATATGCAAAATGGGACTCATTACCTGTTGCAGTGCGGCGATGGACTACACCAATCGGCTGCTGATGACGAACGCAATCGTGAACGCGACAGGCGACGTGACCCTGCTAACAGCTGCCATCTTCCGCTCTGTTTGCGACGTGGACGTCTCTTACTTCCCGTTCGACATCCAGAATTGCACGATGCGCTTCATGTCATGGACCCAAGACAAGACCAGGGTAACTCGCTCACTCCCTCTCCAGCTTCTTAACTCCCCTATTTTGTACTTCTTCGGTTCTACGTTTCTTTCAACATATTTTGTCAATAGCAACCCCTTCCGGGCTGATAGATATTGGTTACACCCTTGACACAATCCACCGACCTTCGTGCACAATAATTTAGATCTGAAAATAAGAAAATCAGGACCATTTAGTTCGACCGTGAAAATGTACTTTTTAAACATCATTCATCTAGACAATCAAATGAAGAAAATGCGATGAAACTCTTCATTTTTCCCTCCCATGCCCCCATGCTCCCATTAACTGTGTCTTGCCTCCTGTTGCACAGGGAAAAAAGCATGGCTCAGTATTTAAAATTACTCAAAGCACGACATTTAATAATGTCCAGGGCATGTGATGGCCCATTTTATATTTTTCATTGAGAGATTGTTGACATACGCAAATTATGGGCAGAGCAATTAGGATGTTCATGGCAGCAACATGGTTGAATTTGGTATCCTCCCTGGACATGTACTCTCTTGGTGAACGTGTTCACCTGGAATAAGCAACATGAATCAATTGTAATTGTAACGCATGTGGGCATAATTGGGACGGTTTGTCGAATAATATATATTTGCCTTCTCCATGAAGTGCTCTTCAATTACACCAGCGAAAGAGCATTGTGACCCAGCATTCTTCGCCTTTTTCGCCCACCTCCCCTTCCAAAAATAAGCTCTCAATACCCATGGTATCCTTGTAACCCACTGCGGCTAACCTGGTTGCCGCTACGCAAGGGTTGAGAGGCACTCTTACAGTCGGACGAGGCACTCTGAGAGTAGATCAATGTTTCCCTGATGAAACAGACAGATGTGGTCCATTCAAGGACTAGTCATGCTAGTCTAAGAGCTGCGTTAAATCGATTATGTCCAGGTTGTGCAAATCAATGCAAAACATGTTATTACATGTATCGATTGAGTAGGTCTTCGGTTGAATCGGACATTGTGCCTTAATGTTTTGTTTTCCCGCAAGTCAGATCCACGATAGGCGTGAGTCATTGACACATTGTGCATTTAATGCATATTTTGCCCGTTTTTTAATTCAATTTCGAGTGACCTTGTGACCTTTATAGAGTAAGATAACGTGATAAATCCTTTTCCATTCGAGTATTTGGAGTCCTTACTATTGTCATCCCAAATTTTGTCCAGTTTTGCTCTGGTTGCACTTTTTTTTTTAGCAATTTAGTTTATTCTTGGAGTTGTGGTCTGGAGGAGAAATCCTCGAGGCTTTAACCCAGTGTCTCAGATCGCAATTTAAAAATGTACACAGGTATTATTAAATAAGTGATCAATGGAAAACTGGAAATCAAATTTCAAGACATCAGCTTCTTCGAAATGCCTACTTTTGGTCTATTTCTTCTGGCATACCCTCTTAAGATATCGATGATCACTGCACGAGAGATGCTTGGTAAAAACAAGATGTCTCAGGTTCAGATGAAGCTGGATCACAACAAAATGATCGAGTTGAAGACATACATACTTTTGCTCCTCAAGAGCGACCTTAGAATACTGCGGCTCGATTCCCTCCTTCTCCTAGGCACAACAGGTTTGGGAAAGAGATGCCACCTGATACAGTAAGCCTTCAAGCGCCGTTCTGCTTTTTTCGTCATCAACTATGTCCTCCCCATGATTGACATCAACGTCATCGGTATGACACCATTTTCCCCGCATTTCTAAAAGTAATGAGAACCGAATGGCGAGCGATAGAGTGTGGTCGGTTTGTATCTAGCCCTGCTAACATTCCTGGTACCGTGTGAGAGCGGGGAGAAGGTGACGCTTGGGATCTCCACGATGCTCACCACTATCATCTTCCTCATGAGCATCCGCGATGTCCTCCCGCCCTCTGAAAACGTCCCTCTCATCGGTAAGATGGAGTCATCGGCTGAGTCTCCATCTTCAAGAATTGACAGACATTCCGACCAAATACCATTACAATATAATAACAAAACTCGTGGTCATCAGGGTGGAAGCTGCCCCAGAAGGAAAGTTTTGCAGTGTGGGCCAAAAAAAAGCCGGACTGTCTTCAACCAGACACTATACTGCGCTCATTGCATACGAATAAACAGGTTGTCCAAAAAAAGTACACTCAAAATTTTATGAGTTTCTCGGCAACCAGGAGGTTAAATTGCCTAAAAATTTGAATAAATAGAGTTAAAATAGTCGGGAAGCAGTCATTGAATTATTAAGCGGATCAGTTTGACATGAACCTTTATTTATATCAGTTAATGATATGATCTCAAAGTTAGACCAAACGGTTTATTTTATCACTTAAGTTGAAACAAACGCAACAACAATCATTGCAAATAAGGAACAATGAGCGCATTAGTTTATCTTTGGAGACGGTAAGCAAAGCTGTTGACAACTTTCCGAAGAGGTTCAAGAAGCGCATCGAAGCCGGAGGTCGCCATTTTGAAAACAAGTGATTCTATTGTGATCCCGTGATTATGAACTGTTTTTGTTCTCACTTGTCGAAAAATTGTGTCATTTTCAAGAAAGAACGTTTTATTTAATTTTTTATTTATTTTGTCCAAGTATTTTCGCCGCACCCTGTACATTCCGATATTTTTGATTGAATGGTGGCATTTTTTTTAGGATTTAGTGAAAAATACACGGCATTGTATTAATCTGAGGTGCAGAGTACTGTACATTTACAGGGCAAAAGTTGTAATTACGCGCAAATTTGATGATGGTTATAAAATGACAAATTATGGATCATGTGATATCAATCCGCCTGATATTTTAAAGAGTGTTTCCTAACTAATTGAACTCTTTTTTCCCATTTGTTAGGCAATTTGGTCTCCTGGTTGCCGAGTTTCTAGGCAACCAGGAGACCAAATTCGCCTTGAGACGTCAAATTTGCGCGTAAGGACAACTTTTGCCCCGTAAATTGACAGTACTCATTATCTCGGTTTAATACGCCGCCGTGTATTTTTCACTTGAGCCTCTTCAGAAGGTTGTCAATGACTTTGCTCACCGTCTCCAAACATATATTAACGTGCTGATTGTTCCTTATTTGCAATGATTGATATTATTTTTTTTAACTGAGGTGAGAAAATAAACCGTTTGGTCTAATTTCGAGATCATTTCATTAAATGCTATAAATAAGGGTTAATGTCAAACTGATCCACCTAATATTTCAATAAGTGTTTCCTGACTATTTGAACTCTATTTATTCCAATTTTTAGGCAGTTTAGTCTCATGGTTGCCGAGCATCTCATAAATATTTAAGGGTGTACTTTTTTTCTGGGCACCTTTTGTGTTAACCCCTTATTTGGGGGATTTCTCAGGTAGAAGTGCACCACAGGTGTAATAAATTATTTTCGTGAGAGTCACAATTTGTATTGCTGTAAGATAAGCACCACTCTCTCTCGAGTTTGTACTCCCTTTACGAGTTTCGAATTCATGCTAAACTCAAACTCAAAATATAACTTGAAATTGTAGAAAAAGCCGAACCCTCCTGGGAAACGTTTCACCATGTCGAATTTATACATTATATCCACTTAAGGGGTCTATATTTCTTGCGGCATTTCGAAGAGGATTGAATACGCTTGAACATTGTCTACTTAAATTAGTACATATTCAACAATATCAGGAATTCGGATGTTGATATGAACAGTGAACAAAAATTGCTTGGTTTTGTAGCCTTGGGGATGGACAAATGGCAGCTGAAGGTCACATGCCGTTTGCGTTCGAGTGCGCGGCAACGCGTTTTTGTTTATTCTTCATATTAACTCCTGAAGTTCTGAAACTGTCGAAGACATTTGAAATTATGAACGCATCATTTTGAAGCGCATCTATTCCAATCGGAATAGATAATTTTTTAAATGATGTGCTTATATTTGAAATGTGCATTGAAGTGCATCGTTTAAAAACGTCCTTTTTGCCTACCCTGTAGATATTAAGACAACCATAAATGTCAGCTGGAGACTTTAGCAAACAAAAGAACCACGTGACTGGAACTGCTAATTTCTTCACTTGCATTACCTGCATTTAGACCTGACCACCTTCCCAATAGTTTTAGGATTGAAATAAGTGCTGAAAATT